CAGCCCGAGGTCCAGGAGGACCCTACGGCTCTCGCCCTGGCTGCTTGTACCGGGGATATTTTGGAGAGCATGTCCCCATTCGAGGATGCGCACCTCACTGATGAGGTGCGCGAGAATGTGCCGCAGCTGAGAAGAGGCGTGGTGGAGTCCACGATGCGGCGGGTAGCCATGGACAGTGGATTACCCTATGGTCCGCTGTCAGCTACCCGAGGTGCCCCAGACTCTGCTACCTGCTGCAGGAAGGAGAAAGAAGCGGAAAAGCCGCAGATGGGAGGATGCACCAGAGCTCTCCCTAGGGGCTCTCTCTGTCTCTGCTGCCTGTCCAACTGCGAGTCGGGAGGAACCTCTCCCGATCCTCAACCCGGCGGTATTCACCTCCCCAGGAATTCCCGCCGATCCACAGCGGACATCCAAGGATCGTCAGCCCACTGCTTTGCTGCCTGGGTCAGCAGCTCGCCCCTTTCTGGGGACGCGCCTGGCATTAAAAGGGGCCAGGTCCATTAGGGATACTATCCCGCATGTCCCCAGGCTCGCTAAAAAGGCTCCGCCCTCCGAGGTTCCAGTCCCGGGGGCGGACGTCCCGGTCCCAGCAGTTCCCTCATTGTTTAGCTGTTTTCCTAATAAACATTGGGGAATGTTCCCTCATTCCCCAATTCTCTGTTTTCCTGCTCCTGCTTCCCTGGTCTTATTGCAAGACACATTATAAGCTTGTCTTTATGGCAGATGGCATTAAGAAAAAAAATGCCTCAGATTAGAGGGTTTGATCTGGTTTCTTTTCTGCTATGTTATCTGCCCCATTGTGAAGAAGATTCTTTCTGAATATAAATAACTAAAGTCTTGTATTAATATTTACAAAAAAAGAGAAAGAAAATCAGCTCTCAGATTGGAGCTGGCCCCCATTGTTCATGTAAAAGGGGCTCATAGAGCTGATTCACTCATGACTAACACATCACTACTCTGCATGAGAGACACACACACACAGTATGCAGAACTGATGGTTCATAACTGTTCTTCAAAACCTCCCTGATCCACATACAGCATTTGAAGAGTCACCAAATCTTCAGAGAGTAGCTACAAACGTTTTTTGTAAGGACTATCCTTAAAACTGACTGGTTTTTGTGTGGCATCCAACCCTTCCTTCACTGCAGATAGCTCTGCCTGCCCTGCAGCTTTCGCAGCTTCCTTGGCTGCATGGTTGGTATCGACGCATGTTTCTCCAGCTTTGGCTGCTGCCCCTGTTGCCCCCACTGCTGCTGCTGCTGCCCCTGTATCCCTGACTGCTACCTCTGCCGTTGTCCCAGCTATCTCTGTTACTCCTTCAACTGCTTCTACAACTGTTATATTTCTTGGATTAACTTCTGTTTTTTTGGATCTAATGCCCAGTATTGACTTTACTCCTGCAGTGAAAAGTCCAGCTAATGCCACAAATGGTACAGCTGCTCCAACAGCGACTCCATGCAGGAGCCCCAGCAAAGATCCAACTGCTGCTCCTGCTACTCCTGATTTTAAAATCTTATTTCTGGCTTCTTTCCAAATTTCTGTCTGTCTCTCTTTTATTATTTTATATATCTCATGCTCTATAGCTTCTATGTTGTCTAGCTTCTGGGATTCAGTCATACTTTCCCTATTCTTTCTAACTCTACTTTTGGCTTCTTCCAAAAACTCTTTCATTCTGTCTTGTATTATTTTATTTACCTCATCCTGTATAGCTTCTGCAATGAGCTCAAGTGATTCATTTGTGTAACAACGACCTTCATTCCCTTTCACCATGTTTTCTATAGTTGTCAGCAGCTGTTTAATCTGAAAGCTGTTGCTCCTGTACTCTGATTCATCCAGGTTTCCATCAGACTTTGTAGGTCTTCCTGAACCTTGGCCTGGTTCCTGATCAGGTGCTGAGGATCTTTGCTGTAATATCTGGTTCTTCAGGTCTTCCAGTGCCTGAACAGCCTGTGATTCCCCAGATTCTCTCTTCTCTATCATCCTTTTCTTTAGATCTGCAGACTGAGCATTTTTATCTTTTCTGTTCCAGTGCTTAGAGTCAATGACGTGGACTCGGCCGTCACACTTATCAACAAGTTCCTTCAGATCCTTGTTCTTATCTACAAACTCTGTAATGGTCTGGTTTTTAAGCTCATCACCATGTGTGAAAAGGACAACTGTGTGTTTCAGGGCTTCCTCCCCAAACCACTTCAGTATCATCTTCACAGACTCTTTCTCTTCTTCAGTGTGTCTTCCCACTTGCAGCACTAAGATGAAGGCATGTGGACCAGGAGCACATTCAGAGAGACAGGATATTATGGAATACTTCAGATCTTCCTCAGACCTGTATGGGTCAAAGATCCCTGGTGTGTCAGTTACTGTAATCTTCCTGTAATTAAAGTTTGCTTCTTCTGTTTGACAATCTGTTGTTACATTATATGGATCACATGAAACTTTAAACTTCTCTTCTCCCAGGATAACATTTCCTGCGCTGCTCATCCCAGATCCTGTTTTTCCCAACAGCACAATTCTTACTTCAGCAGGTGCTTTGGGAGAGAAACACAATATCAGTTACCTTGAATGTTATAGATTTGTCTCAGTTTGACTGAAGACTCATAACAATGTGCTAAGATCAAGCCTGTCAGCAGGAGGCACCGTGAATGTGGTTATAATGAACACGAACATGCCAAATTGCTGTGGAAATTCTCTAGCATGTCTTTAGCATATCTCAGGTTCAATTACTTTATGCTGTCAGCAGATGGCAGTGCAGAGCCACACAAAGCATAAGCGCATGGGGAAGACATAGAGAGGTACTTATTTACAATAACTCCTTTCATCCCAAACACAGGTTTCCTCGTTCTGCTTAACCAATGAAAAACCTAATTTCTCTATTTGTTTTTAGCTGAACAGGCAGGTGCTCTAAGCAGAAGCTTGGTTAAAATAACTGCAATTAACAGCCAGGATTTGCTCTGCTGCTTTAAGGCAGTTAGTTAAGCAGGAATCAGGAAGTTATACCACCAGCAGTCAGACACACAGATACAGAGGAACAGGATGTGCTGCAACTACACACAGCAAAGGCCAATATGACTGTAAAAGTGTCCTTTACAGCCAGCAGAGCCCTTCAGAGTAAGACCCTCAGTCACACCTCCACCTCAGAGATTCATCAGCTGGTCTGAGTCCAGCTCAGAGGATGTCAGTGTAGCTGATGTCCCAGTTACAGTATCTCTGATCATCAGTCTATGTGCTTCAGAGAGAGAAAGACCACAGCTGGGAGGCATATCAACGCAAATACATGCGCATTTGCGCCGTTACAATAATCGATTGCCGCACGTATCGCTTTTAAA